CAGAGAAGTCCAACAGTTGCTCACATCATCAGTTGGCCAGTGGGGTGTGACCTATGCCAGCAAAGGTGATTTTTTACAGGATTGTGACAAGACATTTACCCATTAAGTTCTATATAAAACACACCTAGGAGTTTCTAGTAACAGCCATCTGAGTGTGTCTGAGGCTAGAACAAAGGCAGAGCAGAGCACTGATTGCTACAGTAAAAGAAATAAAAGAGAAAAGGAGGCAAAACAGTTCTACAAGAGCATATTATGCTGAAAAGGAGCAGGGAATGAAAAAAAATAATATGAGATTCTTGCAAGTACAAGAAATCTTTGGCACCAACCAATTTTTTTGGATAGTCTTCAAGAGGCACAAGTCACATGCAGTTCCAAAGACAGGGGAGGACAATGACTGTGTGAGAGTGCAGCGGGGTAAGGACAGAGCCCAGCCCAGAGTCACACACAGAAACACTCATCAGCCCAGTTAAGCAACACACTTTTCTTTTTCTTATAAGTCTCCCCTTTTTCTGGTGCGTCAAAAGGATTAAGCAGCAACGTCAGAAGGGTGGCAGCAGCATTAGCAACAGGTTATTTATCCCTTGTTCTCTTTGGCAGGCAATTCGATCCCTAAACCATTAGTGGCAAAGTTCCTCATTTCATTATTACTTTGCATCAGGCAGAAATTCAGAGATACTATTGGGAAACAGGTTTCCAGTTGGGTTGTTTGCTGATTAATGGACAAAAGAAAAGGCAGTGTGTAACAGGCCCTGCTTTATTGACAGCTGAAAGTCCAGGGGATGCCTGTGCTGATGCACACACAGGTCTACAAAGCTTTAGGACCATTGTCGATGCAGTAAGGGCTTTGGGATTTAGAAATGGGGGCACAGGGAAACCTGTCACACAGCATCCCAACTGTCCAGCAGGCCCCTGAGTGCTCTCTCCACTTTTTTTCTTCAGTATCGCATGGGGTGGGTCTGCGAGTATGCTACAAAACAATCATTCCATGCCCTTCTCTTAATAGATAGACAAAAATAAACCCCACTTTCCAATGAAAACTGAAGAAAGCTTCCCAAATTGGCAAGTAAACGGTCTAGTACAACAGACAGTCTTGTGATGAAGTAGAGACTGGAAGCAAAGCAGCTCCTGTTCTATTCTCAGCTCTTCCAACAACTTCTGACTTGACCTTGGTGGATTATTTGAGCACTCTGCTTCTCACCTTTCTGTCTGGATGACAACAAGGCCACCCTCCACTGCTTCTTTTCACTGCCACTGCTTCCTTCCCCCCTCTGCAGACTCAGCAAGGTCATTCCTGTGTGGCAAGCACAGCATTGACTCCTGCAGTGACTCAGTACCACACGTGTGTCATGACCAATGGCCAATATTTGTCTTTGTCATTACAAGTTATTTAGAGCAAGGTGCACCTTCTATTTGTTCTGCAGAGGGTTCAGCCTGCTGCCAAGGCTTTCTTCGCACGAAAGACAGAAAGCGGTCAATGACTGCTCCATCAGGTATTTTTAGCAGCTGAATGAAAAATTGATCATTTGAAAGAGGAGAGAACCACTCATTTATGGTACATATGCTACGTTGATGCAACACTAATGTTCAGTATTGCATTGATAACACAGTACCACATTCATAGACAGTTTTACAACAGAAAAACAGTGATCTTTCTCCCCAGGAAAGAATTACCATTATAGTGATATTATGTTGCCGCTAAATAAAGAACTGATTGAGAGTGAAATACGCCACTGTGGCAATTCTGGAGATTCGTGTTCTTCAAATACTAAGGAAAAATGGGAATGGGACTCTTTGGAGTCCTCATACTTCTGATCTTGAAGCATGTTTTCTACAGTTAAAAGAAATATTTTCTACTCTATTTTTTTCCTGTGCCACTTCTTCATGGCAGCAGCTTGTGAGATTTTATGCTCAAGATGGTAGGATGAGGAATTCAATACCTGCATAAGGGAAGTATGAACCACCAACAGTCATTTTTGATCAATATCGAGCTAACATGGATTTGACAGAAAAATGGAAAAGGGAAGACTCTCTACCAGATCATCTCTCTCCCATAAAGACTCATTACAGCCTCTTAAAACAGATGTTGACAGAAAAAGCATGCATTTCTTTAAAGTGTAAGTTCATTAAATGTCATTTACAATGGAGAACCACTAGCAAAATAAAACACTCCATTGCTCTTAAGCAGAAAGCATTTTAAACTATCACATCTTTTAAACTGGAGAAGAGCAGAGGGACTGGGCCTGGTGGCACTCCTAGTGACACTGTGACCTACAAGTCAAGCAGTAAGTATTTCATGTGATACTCCAGTGGAGGTCAAGCTGTATTTTCATCAAAACAAGAGAGCTACTGTTTGGTGTTTTAACATTTCATGTCATTGAATGTTTTCTTGTGGGAGTTAGTCTATTAATACTAAAAGTTAACACCATGGGTTTTTTTAATGCCAGCAAATAGTTACAGGTCAAAGCTCACATGCATTACAGTCCACCCAGGCATATCACACCCACTGCCTGACTTTTCTTTCCCCAACACAAGGTCGTCACAGCTACAGAGAATGGAGGGAATAAGCAAGGGTTTAATGTGAGAGAGCGCATACATCAAGAATGCATCCTACCAGATTTCTTTCTGACAATGAAACTGGAATTCCTTTGCTAACAATGGGCTATTTAAGCAAGGCATATTTCAATTTATGCACAGTTTTAGCTCTTATGAAATATAAAATATTTTCCTGACCAGTGTTTAATAGCACATTCTGGCTCTGCAAAATCTACTGGTTTCTTTGAGCCAATGCATTTCCACTCTGACCTGCAAAACTTCTCATGCCGATAATCTGAGTCGATCTGAAACCCGCTGTCAATGGAGTTAAAGTGAGGGACAAGCTCTCTGTGTGCTCAAACATTCACCAAGTGAGTCAAGCTCAGTTATTTGCTGACTACTCATCTTTGAATAGTAGCCTCTCAGTTCAGTGTGGATTCTTGTAGCATTACAATGTTCTCAGTGCCAAATAACAATCTCTATGCAAAGAGTACACGTCTTTATTTGCTATCAATTAATGAAGCTAAAGAGGAACTTTCACACAGGCTAACCTCAGAGAAAATATTGACTGAAATAACTGTTCTTTGACTCCAGCTCACTTTATTGTCTCTTCGCAGTACATTTTAATTACAGTTCTCCTTCCTATCTCAGTTTCTCCTTTAGCAGCCCTCCATCATGAAACCTCTCCCTTAACACACAGATTTTTATGGAAGGGCTGGATACAGATGCCATATCCTGGCGTCACTGCAGAATCCACAGTGAAGTGCAAGCTGTGATAAATATCACGTGCTAATCTTCTCCAAGCATTAGGCAAGGAATTTCCTTAAAAAGACATAAAAGAAAAAACAGACCAGAAAGAAAGAGAATTTGGGATGCCTCAGAGTATTCTGTGACACCTCCAAAACAAGGCTTTTCTCAAGACTCCTTCCAACTCTAGCTACTTTAGAGAAGATGGCAGCAGGAGGGTGGCAAAGGGAAAAGATATTTGAATGCTTGCTCTCCTGTCTCATTCCTTCCTTTACTTTCAAAATAGTGGCGTAAAGTTTTAGCATCACAAGGTCCACTGTAAAGGTCAGTGACCGCCAGGTGTTCAGCTCCTAATGCCAAGCACAGCGATGACGAGGCCATTGGTCTGGTGGTACCTCACTGTGAGCTAGCTGTTGTACCCTTCCTTCCACAGGATTATGCCACTTTTTGTAACTCATTCCACTGACTCTAATGGGGCTATTGGTGGGGTGAAGCACTCACTATTCAGCATTGTGAGGCTACTTATTGACAGTTGGTCTCCATTTCACCTCACTGCCAAACTTCATCCTCTTTTAGCACCAGCAGTTCACTGACGGCTAATGCTTGTGGCTATGCATCATTCTTTGCATTCTCAGCTCTGGTTATTTATGAAGTTGCTCAAAGGTAAACAAAGTAAATATCTTCACATGCTTCCAACTATCATATTCTAAAAGAACACTCCTTAGTAATGCTTTATTGCTTCATAATCTTACTGTAAAATGCCTACACATAGCAGAGCCCACACTGACTCACCCAAGGAAACACCTCTACTTTGCAGAGACAGACCCAGCAGAGTCTCGTGGTCGGACAATGAGTAAAAGGTTACCTTATGGTCTAGTACACTCTGCCTCTTTCTGCACTTACAGAAGTGAGGTGAAGGTGTGGCAAAATATTCCTCTGAGATAGCAATGCCTGTTTTATCATGAGATGAGTGGCCTGCCTTCCATCTGTTTTAAGCACAAAGCTTAGGCAAAGCCGGTTCCAGTTATTCACAACTCAACACAAGCAGACCTGGATGACACCTCAGTGTTACAACCTGGTCTGTTGTACATTTCTAAGCATGACACCTTTTAAGTGGTTTATGGCAGAGCCATACAAAAACTTCAAGAGACAATCTAAGGGCTAAGCGTCCAACAACCCTCAGCTAAAAGCTAAGTGGTCTCTCCAGTGAAGGACAGGGAATAAATCTCACAGGTTCTCAGTTTTCATTTCTGCATTCACAGCAGAATTTGCTCCACTTTTTCACAGTCACTGCTTTTGGGAACATGTAGTTTCTTTGGCTTCCTTTTCCCATTTATACTACTTGCCATAAAGCTTTCTGTCATGCCACTGACAGGCAAACCACACAGTTTTAGTCCTGTTTTTTAACCTGGCCCACAGGAAAAAACAACGGAGCTCTCTTCACTTTCATTGACTGCCAATAAAACTAGTCCAACAGACTGAACCAACATCAGTCTTAAAGTCTGAAACAACTTCTCATCTGCCTTCAGCTTGCTTCACTTACATTGCTACAGTCCTTAGCTGTTAGGATAGAGGGACTGGGAAATTCTGTTTAACATTTACTACAGTGTTGTTTCAGAAACAGTATTTCACCACCCAAATTAACTCCAACTTGGCATTTTAGCAAGCAAACATGACAAAGAACCAACATCAGTCTTAAAGTCTGAAACAACTTCTCATCTGCCTTCAGCTTGCTTCACTTACATTGCTACAGTCCTTAGCTGTTAGGATAGAGGGACTGGGAAATTCTGTTTAACATTTACTACAGTGTTGTTTCAGAAACAGTATTTCACCACCCAAATTAACTCCAACTTGGCATTTTAGCAAGCAAACATGACAAAAATTTTAAGTGCTGAAATACT